TGCTTAGAAAAATGACTTAACTAAAAGACTTGTAAAATATTTTTTTAATGGTTTTCTTTTAAGTTTAGAAACAGAAAAATAAATTCAGATTTGACAAAAAATAACAAGTGACAAAAATTGGTTGCAAAACAGTATTTGAAAGTGAGTTGGGTGTCAATTTCCCCTTCCCTCATTTATCATTCGGATGCTTTAACAAAGAACAAAAATTGCTCCCAGCTTAACGAAAATATTAAGGTAATTGTTGTTTCCCAACAACAGTTTTCTTCCACTGACAACAGTTGGCATATCCATATGTCACTGTTGTCATAAGATCTTGAAGAACCATTTTCACAAGTTACATGGGGGTAACTTCATCCCTGAAGCCATACCCATTGAGAGAGATTTTTCTCTCAACTTTTCATGTGCTCACAGTGGGGTCTAGTGTGAGTTATTTCCCAATAATCTCACACCACTAAGAGCTGACTATGTGTGATCATTACATAACAAACTCAGCAATAAACATGCACAGTAAACAAGCTGAAAAACAACCATGTAAACATTAAAACATCATCCAATAACAGTGAGTTCCAGGTACTTTTTTCAACCCAACTCTCAGAAAAATTAGCTCATCACCACAGGTTGATGAGCTAAGTTACAGCAAAAGAACATGATAAAAACAGGAACTTTAAAAATGTACGAAAACTAAAACTCAGGAGCTATCAACAGTCGATAGCCCTGGAACAGTGCTCATAGAAAATGTACAAAACAGAAAGTAAAAATATTCAAAGCAGAAACAGTAACATAAAAATATTCTAAGAACAGAAAACAAATTTCAGCCGAGAGAAGAGAGGTAGGGAGAGAGTGTCCTACGAAATGCCTTTTTCTTTTTCTTTATAGCTGCTCCAAAATCAGCTCCTCCAACCGTACGTTCCTCGCTCCAATCGATCGTGGGTGTCCTTTGCACGATTTAGCAACGCACTCAAAAGCAGCTCCAGCCACTAACGACCTCCAGCTCATCACTTGTTTGGATTTTTCTGTGTCATCAACCGAATCGGGTAGGGTTTGTGTGGGTTGGTCCGATTCAAAAACTGAACCGTGATGGAAGGCTAGGGTTCTTTGTGGGTTATGTATCTTGAATACAAATCAAAGAGTGGTTCGGTTTTGAGATGGGTGTTTGATGGATATGGGTTTTCTTGGACGATTTGAGTGCTAGGGTTTTCTTCTTCCTTTCTGATCTTTCTCACGATTCTTCCTCTGTCTCTTGTTTCCCTTCTTTTCTCCCTTTTCTTCTTTTCTTCTTTGGGCCATTGGTTGGTTGGTTTTCATCTGGCCCATTCTTTTATTTTCTTCTTTTGATTTGGCTTTTTCCACCTTTGCTTCTTTCTTTTCTCACTTCGGGCTTCTGATCAAAAAATGACTGGCCCAATTTTTCTTCTTTCTTTAGCTTGGAAAAATAATACCAATTGGGCTTGAAACACAAAAATTCAGCCCATTAACACTCGAAATCAGAAATCATCATTTCAATGCAATAATTAGGGTTTTATTAACAAAGATATTCTTTTCATTTCCATTTTATCATCAAATCACATGCTCTAAGTCACAATTCATGGACTTATCAATGAGATATAGGAGGAAAGTGGATATTGATGAGTAGTTCAAGTTGTTTGCATCTTCTGTTCGATAATATCTTCTTAATTATACTAATAAAAACTTAAGATGATTAGATGGAGGTGAGTTTATTCATTTAGAGTTTGAGTTTAGTGAGAGATGTTTTGCGCTATCCTTATTGTGTATTATGAATTAGTTATCCAAGATTCTATTTAGGTAGTGTTTGGTTGAAGGTTTATTTTGGGATTGATAGGAAAGTGTAAGTGGATATTGGAAAATACCACGTTTGGTTCAGGTTTTTTTAAAAAATATTAGGCAAATAGGATAGATGGGAAAATGACTTTTGTGTTGATTTTTTGATGAAATTCATTGTTACAAAATACCACTTGAGATGTGGTATTTTGAAATAACTGGGGAAGTGAAAAAACAGGTGCGAAGTCTCTCCCGAACATAGATTTTGCAAATTTAAATAAATTTTCCTGGTAATATTTCGGTCAACCAAACAACTTTTTTTACATTTTCCTACCAAACTCACTTTTCAACCATTTCCCTAGTAATTACATTTTCCTAGTATTCAAAAAATTTCTCCTACAAATTAGATTTTTCTGTCCATTTTGACCCGTTAAAAATTATCACATCGGGAATGCTTTCTTTGTACATTGAATGGGGACTTCTCTCAAATCAAACATCACAGTCATTTTTGCAATTTGAACCCAATTAAATTGAGTTATTGGAGGAAATTTTATTCTATACATCGAATAGGGTACATCTTTTTTTCAAAAAAAAATAAACTTTCTTCTCATTTAAACCTACAATTTCATTTTTATTCCATTTTTATCCCAATTTTTTTGCTTTTTTTAGACCCATACATGGTGTATCGGTAGCATAAAAGATTTGCTCCTATTGGAAATGCTCCATGGAAGCCACCAACGAAGGAACAGTGACAACTATCAACAATATCTGAGTCCGGCCCCAAAAATGAAATCTCCATTTCTCCAAGATTGTGCTTCAATTTGTAGCTATCATTAGTACTAGACTATACATGATACACTTATTGGTGATCCATATAGGTGTTGTTCAATGACATGCTGATGTGAATGGTGTTACCATAATGGAGTTCTTTATAAATGTTTCAATGTAAATGAAAGAGTTGAAATCATAATAGGATCCACTAGCACCAACCCTCAAAAGGTGAATGAGCACACTAAAATGAAAGGAAGCAAGGACTTCATCATTATGACAAACAATACAATATTAGGTTTAAATGCTCTTTTGTCTTTTCAAACTCAAATAAGAAAATAAGGATCTATTTGTCTGTCATTACAACATGTAACATAGACCTGCAAAGCGTAGCATAATTTGTAGTGGTGGAAAAAAATAAAAAATGAGAAGACTTATTTTGGTTCTATTTATATAAATTCTGTGCCACAAAGAAAATGAAGAATCTCATTCAGTTGCTCTAGGATTATGAGATGCAAACTCAACGTGAGACATATTCAGAAAGTTGCAAAATAAAGGAAAAGAAAAGGGCAAAAAAAAATGCACAATCAAATTAGTATTTCTTTCCGAAAATAATGAGGAGATGTTGTCAGAACTTATGACTGACTAAGGAGATAAAAACCAACTTGAATAGGCGTGTCTTTTTCCTCTTTACTCATGCTTTGTGCATGGTGTCTCTCTCTCTTAAGTCACTTCTCATACTCATACCTCATTTTGGACATGACCAAGTATAATAAATCCGCTTTTAATTTCAAAACAGTTATATTTTCATAAATAGTTATTAAAATAATAATATTTTAATTTTTTTCTCTCTCTGACACTTCAAAATTTTCTTTTCTTTTCTTTTTGGTACAGTAGCAGGGAGAGTTATAAAGTATTTTTTTTTTTTTGGTGACAAGTTATAAAGTATTTTATTGATGAGTTTATCAACGACTACTATGGAATCAATGTTCTATCAAAACATAAAAAAATATAGTACTTTTCTCACAAACTAAAAAAATTTAGCTTTTGAAAAAAAAAAACCTTACAAAACATAAATATCATAACAAGGTTTTTTCTTTTTTTTTGGATAGATAAGAACTTTTTTACTTAAAGAATGAACAAGCGTATCTTAATATATATATATAGAGAGTAATATATTGGTACTGTCACAGGCAAATTTTTTTTTCCTACACAAACAATTTTCTATGGGCCCCATGCATTGTGTTTTCTCTCTCCTTTTATCATTTTCTCTCTTCTAAGATATTGTGTTTACAGGACAATTTTTTTTTTCCTACAACAGCATGGATGCATTTTCCATATATATATATATATATATATATATATATATATATTAAAAATTTAATAATATTATTTGTGAGCCTTCTGTCAGTTAATAAGATACCTTAAAAAAAACTATGTCATATTTTTTTTAAGATTAAACAAACGTATTCTAAAATTCATATATAGTAAAATGTTAATGATATTGTTTGTGAGCATTGTGTCAGCTAAGAAAACACTCCGATATTGGGGAGGGGGCTGAACCTTTAGCCATCACTGCTCCTCCGCACTCCGGATTAGTCTCATAGCCGGCTCAAAGAGTCGAAGCTCGTGGGGATATCGGAGGGAGCCAACTTGCCTCAAAGAGGTAATTAGGGTTGGGTAACTCTAAAAAAGAAAACACTCCGATATTATAAAATTCAATTTCCTCATTCACTTTTTTTTTAATTCCTCTTTATTCTTTTTCCCCTAGATCCCACTCTTGAATGGGCCTCTCTAAAAAAAAAGAAGATAAACAAGGATAATGATATTTACATACATTTGCATGATATACTTTAATCTACTTTCTATTGTTAATGATTTTCACTATTTTAAAAACTTCCAATTCTTATTTAAAAACCTGTTAATATAAAAAAAAATTCAAGTCACTTAATATATATTTATCTACGTTCACGTCAAAACTACGTCGTTTTATTTATTTATTTTTTTTGTAATAATTGGTTCATCTTTGAATGATTATGATTTACTTTTTCTCTCTTTTTCTTTATCACAATTGATCTATCTTTATACGATTATGATTTAGTAATCGAAGATAAAATTATCTCAAATGACTTGAGAAATGAAAACGATAAACTCTAATATAAAATAACAAATTATTAGTAAAAATAAACGTAATATAATAAAAAATATGAAAATATTATTGTCCGTGATAAGATGGGGGTCGATATTTTCTGTCATTTCATTAAGACAATAATGATAAGAAAGTGCAAAATGAAGATTCTTTTCACAAAGTTGTATGATAATAGTTTGAAGATATACACTGAATGAGAAAGTTTAGTTAGCACATGACTGCATATCGCAACGACATTTCAGACGACCAAAACAAATAATAGACAATTAAATAATACGACAATACCACCTTGCCTACGTTCCCACTTCCTTTCTCTCTCCTCAAAACACAACACCACTCTCGCTCCCACCTACTCCTCTCTCTCGCTCTCTCTCTCTCTCTCTCTTCTCGTAGTTTGATCGATCTCAATCTCTTAGCTACAGGGGACTAAGATTGTTGTTACCATGGGTAACACGATTCTCTTTCATTTTCACTTCTTACATGTTGCCAAGCAAATACGATTCACTTTTCTGATTTTTTATTTTATTTTTTTATTTTTTGAAATGTTTGGTTGGTTGGTTGGTTGGTGCAGCGACTCAAAATCCTTTCAAGAGTATTTTGAAGACGCTGGAGAAGCCTGCTGGTGATGGTGAATTTGGAAATTACTATAGCTTGACAGCGCTCAACGATCCCAGAATCGGTGAGTGATTGATTTTTTGGAGTAAAATCGTTCAGTCCATTCAATTTGTTTTTGTGTGTTATTGGATGACTGTCTTGTAAGAGATCAATGTGAAAAGAAATCTGTATTGAATTGGATGGTTCTATATTTCAATTGCATTTTCTCTGCTACTCCTGTGTGTCTGATGAGATCTGTTACTGCTTATTGGGGGGGGAGATGTTATGTGTTATGTGGCGATTTAACTGATGATTGGTGAATTGAATTTGATATGGAGTGGCACAGAATTACATGGTGACTTTCATGTTTGTGTCACAGATAGGCTTCCTTACTCTATCAGGATACTTTTGGAATCTGCAATCCGTAATTGTGATGAGTTTCAAGTTAAGAGTAATGACGTTGAAAAAATTATTGATTGGGAGAATACCTCTCCCAAACAGGTGGAAATTCCATTCAAGCCAGCTAGAGTGCTTCTGCAGGTGAGTATGATGAAGATATTTGATTTGATTTTTTATTTTTTATTTTTTTTGGGGGGGGTGGGGGTGGTGGGGTGGAACTCTATTATTGTACATTAGTGATTTTGAATGTTAGCTATTTTTTTGGTATTCAATGAGCTTTGAATGTCAACCTCAGGATTTTACTGGGGTGCCTGCTGTTGTTGATCTTGCTTGCATGCGAGATGCGATGAACAAGCTTGGAGGTGATTCAAATAAAATTAACCCCTTGGTAAGCCCCATGCTTGTGGAAGTTAAAGGATTTAGATTAATATTGAGTTTTTTATTTAAATTTTTTTATGCATTGGGTATGTGTAATGATTTTGAAATTGGTTACCTTCAGGTGCCAGTAGATCTTGTCATTGATCACTCTGTTCAGGTTGATGTGGCGAGATCAGAAAATGCTGTTCAGGCAAATATGGAACTTGAATTCCAGAGGAACAAGGAAAGATTTGGTTTCCTCAAATGGGGTTCAAATGCATTCGATAACATGCTTGTTGTTCCTCCTGGATCAGGGATAGTCCATCAGGTCATTGCATCATTCATTAACCAATGATATATATGTGTGTGTGTGTGTGGACATGTAATATTTTACCTGATTCTGTAATATTTACTTTTTGAATGATTTTATTTTACATATGAAACTTGGTTCTTCATTCAGTGATTCCAGTTTGTCTTCAGACTCAAGTTTTTCAAATTCTATTTTTGCAGGTTAATTTAGAATACCTTGGTAGAGTTGTGTTCAACACAAACGGTGTGCTTTATCCTGACAGTGTCGTTGGAACTGATTCCCACACAACTATGATAGATGGCTTGGGTGTTGCAGGGTGGGGAGTTGGTGGAATTGAAGCAGAAGCTGCGATGCTTGGGCAGGTAAAAGTAACGTGTTAATTTGTTGTAGAACTCTGAGTTGCTTTTAAAATTAGAGAATGAAATTAATTATTCAATGAGTATCTGTGAGAAATTTTTCAATTCTCTCCTCTGCTAACTAGTAAACTATTAACAATGTCTGAGTTATTCATAATAATATCTTCAGGCTTTTGTAGTTTTCTCCAATTGATAAATTGTTATTAGAAATATTTATTTAGTTCTCTAATATTTTTGCAGCCCATGAGCATGGTCCTACCAGGTGTCGTTGGGTTTAAATTATTAGGCAAATTACGAGATGGTGTAACAGCTACTGACTTGGTGTTGACTGTTACTCAAATGCTAAGAAAGCATGGGGTTGTTGGCAAGTTTGTGGAGTTTTATGGTAACTACTTATTTATGTACATGATGCTATAATATCTTTCTTCGTCTTTTATAGCATCGCCTGCCTAGTTGGTTAATCTTCCCTTAAATAATTGTTTTGTATCTCCCTTATGCAGGGGAAGGCATGAGTGAACTTTCTTTAGCAGATCGTGCCACCATAGCAAACATGTCTCCTGAGTATGGTGCAACCATGGGCTTCTTTCCTGTGGATCATGTCACTTTGCAATATTTGAGACTGACTGGCAGAAGTGATGAGACTGTGAGTTAACAATTATGTCTTGCTATTTTATGTTGACTACATGTGCTTACATGTCTTTCTTGTAGGTTTCTATGATAGAATCCTATTTACGGGCTAACAGGATGTTTGTGGACTACAGTGAGGTATACTATGTATATATTGTTTTGGGATAGTTATATTTGAAGTGCCTGAAAAAACCTGGCTTGATTGAGATTTTTTCTTTTGTGTAGCCCCAAGTGGAGAGAGTGTACTCATCATATTTGGAGCTCAATCTTGAGGATGTAGAACCCTGTGTCTCAGGTCCAAAAAGGTAATTAGTCATCATGTTTTCTGCTTAAGCATAAGGGTTATTATTCTACCTTTCATAGTATTTTGCATTTACTACACATGCCTTCCTTCTATTGAAAAGTTGTTTATAAAACTCCCTTCCCTTTAAAAATAAATAATAAAAAACTACCACTAACTCCAAAATACTTTCAGGTCTAACAAATTTGTTAGAACTGTCATTCTTAGCCTTGTTCAGTCATATATTTTGAGAAAAGGGAAGAACTGGTTCATTTGGCGTAGCTGAATTGAAGTTTAAATTTGACTACTAAACATCCATAAGCTACTTAGTTAGCAAATATGTGATATCTGACAACATTATGGAGTTAGTTCTGGGTTTTTCTTCAAACAAACATAATGGAGTTTTTGTAGGGTTTCATATGGAGGGTCTGTTAGTAAGTGCAAATTAGGAGGGGAAGGAGGTAGTTTACTGTAGAAGTAAAATTATATTTTCTGTTTTTTCATGGTGTAACCATTGCTTCAAATCTCTTCAGGCCTCATGATCGTGTCCCTTTGAAAGAAATGAAGGTAGATTGGCATGCCTGCCTCAACAATAAAGTTGGGTTTAAGGTATGAACTTTTTGAACCATGCATATTATTATTGACGTGTATATAAAGTAGCACAGCTTATCCCTAGCATCTATGATGTCTGAATTTTCATATCTTCTCCTTCTGTTTTCAATTGTGATTTTTCAGCAGGCATTGCAGTCTTAGCAGCATATATCTCTCTCTCAGACACACACACACATAGATGTGTAAATGCCTGCATCTTCTCTATTTATATAATTATTTTCTTTCTTGTTTTGGTCTGCCATGAAATCATCATAGTCAAAGGTGCCAAGGCAAGTCATCAGAAGGGTTCAGCACCTCTTGCTGGCTGAGGTGCTTCCCTTGGCGTGCACCTTTGGCACCTTAGGGACATCTGACAAATTAGGGGAGTCATGCCTTTAGCACATTATTGATTAAAAAAATGCTCAGAAAGCCCAGCCATCTAAATTGCAAACTATGATGCTAAAGGGTGTAAAATAGTCAGAAAATTAAAATGTGTATAGGCTAATTCATTTTAATCATTCTTTTTATTATGAATGTTATCCTTGATCACTTAATTCATATGCTAAATTAATGCAAACTAGTCAAATATTATACTGTTTATGCTTTTTTTAATGTGAACACCTACCTTGTACCTCGAGTGAAGTGCGCACTTTTTGGCACCTCTAACTTAAAGGCGTTAAAACCTCTTAGCAACTTAAGAGTTCCTTTCACCATTGACTACTTTGGATGAAATTTGAATTTACATCCCCAGACTCTGCTTATTATTCTTTGAGGAAGTCAAATAGTACAATCGATTATATACTTATACTAGCTATATGCTTTTAGTATTTTTTTAATTTAATACAACCATAATCGTTTTTGTTGTTTGAGCTGTATAATATTGCATTGTTACAGGGTTTTGCTGTACCAAAAGAATCTCAGAATAAGGCTGTAGAGTTTACATTCAATGGGACACCAGCACATCTTAGGCATGGGGATGTTGTTATAGCTGCTATCACCAGCTGTACAAATACCTCAAATCCTAGTGTAATGCTCGGAGCTGCATTGGTTGCAAAGAAAGCATGTGAATTGGGATTGCAGGTTAGTAGATTTCTCTGCATTTGGTACCTTTGTCATCATAACTTTATGATTAAACCTCGATCATGATATGCTTGCGCATATTATTTACAAAAGTTCAAGAGAAGGTTTGCCCCTTCAGATACTTCGATGCTTTAGTTTGGCTATAAGATAGACTAGCATGAACAGGATTTTATTTTAGTGTCTGATTGCAGTAATATTTTTATAACATTGTTGAACGGAATGAGATTGCTTCCTTTATTCCCCCAAACAAATAAATACTTTAGAAGGAAAATCATATGTTTATTGTTCTGGCTATTGTAGGACTTAGTACGGCCTTGTATTCTTCTTCCTTTACTTTCTGAATAATGTTGAAGTTACCTTAGCAAATGTTTTAGGCTTTTTGTTTTACAGTCTAGTAGTTAGATACATATTTGATACAATACACGATGGACTTTCATTTTCTTCCTTTTGTCTTTTTCCAATAATATGTTGTTGGCTACAACTGATTGCAATTGTTTTACTATTTGATTTTGACTATTAGGTGAAGCCATGGATTAAAACAAGTCTTGCTCCAGGTTCTGGTGTTGTAACTAAGTATTTGCAGAGGAGGTATTCTTTAAAATATAGTCAAGTATATAAATCCATAACACAGTTGGCATTCACATTTATGTGGCTGAAATATCTTGATTCCTGAATCATGTATTGCTCTTGCAGTGGCTTGCAGAAGTATTTGAATCAGCTAGGGTTTCATATAGTTGGGTATGGATGCACGACATGCATTGGAAATTCAGGGGATATTGATGAATCGGTTGCATCTGCAATTACGGAAAATGGTACATATCTTTTTGTAAGTGGTATTTTCTTAGTACTCACTTCGGAATATCTGAGGTTACATTGGTTTTCTGAATATTCCAGATATAGTAGCTGCAGCTGTATTGTCTGGAAATAGGAACTTTGAGGGCCGAGTTCATCCATTAACAAGGGCTAATTATCTTGCTTCTCCTCCTCTTGTCGTTGCTTATGCCCTTGCTGGCACAGTATGTGACTTGTAAATTAATTCCAAGTATGCATTTTAAAACTTGCTCTTGGTTTCTAATTTGGATACTATTCCGCAGGTGGACATTGACTTTAACACTGAACCTGTTGGGATAGGGAAGGATGGAACAAAGATCTTCTTCAGGGATATTTGGCCATCAAATGAAGAAATAGCGAATGTAAGTAGCCCAATGTGTTTAACACTTTAACTGACTTTTCCATAGAAATAAAAATATATTGTCTACAGATTGTTCATATTTGTCCAATTTTCAGGTTGTACAATCAAGTGTGCTGCCTGAGATGTTTAGGGATACATATAATGCAATTACCAAAGGCAATCCCATGTGGAATAATTTATCTGTTCCAGCTGGCACTCTCTATGCCTGGGACTCTGCATCAACTTATATTCATGAGCCACCTTATTTTAAAGATATGAGCATGTCTCCCCCAGGTGCTCATGGAGTGAGGAGTGCTTACTGTTTGCTCAACTTTGGAGACAGTATTACAACTGACCACATCTCTCCAGCTGGCAGCATACATAAGGACAGTTCTGCAGCCAGATACCTTATAGAACGTGGGGTTGACAGACGAGACTTCAACTCCTATGGAAGTCGCCGAGGCAATGATGAGGTGATGGCACGAGGAACTTTTGCCAATATTCGCCTTGTCAACAAATTCTTGAATGGAGAAGTTGGACCTAAAACTATTCACATTCCTTCAGGGGAGAAGTTATCAGTATTTGATGCTGCACTGGTAATTTTTCTTAACTATGTCTCATGTAGGTGTACTAGCCAATTGTTTTTACTTTTTCCATCTCTAATGACTTCTCCTTCACCTTAAAAATAATGATGTTCCGCGACAGCACGCACTCTGCATTTGTGTTAAATTTGATTTTCGGGGTGAATAAGATTCGTGGTCTTGTGGCTGAATCTGTAAAAAGTATTTGAGCACTACCTCTGATGCTCAACAGTATCGAATGGAAAAAAAATAAAGTTACAGTGGCCTTAGACACAAATGACGAATGATTCCGTATCTTTTTTCATTCAGGACTATGTAGCTAACCCAAAGATTTTAGAGTTGGTTTCTTGTTAAACTTCTTGTTGTCATATCTACTCCAAGGTAGATTGCAAAGTAGTCAATATGTAAATCAAAACTTAAGACTTCAACCCTCTAGATATCATGTTGGATTTGTTCTACATAAAACAGTAGTTGAATAATTGTTGTTGGCTGCTTTTTCTTTTCTTTTATTATTTTGTTTTTTTTGAGAGATTAACTTGTGACTCTTGAAATTAAATATGAAAGAATATACTGTTTCCATTTGGTATTGACTGTTTGTAATTGTCAGAAATACAAAAGTGAGGGGCATGATATGATTATTTTGGCTGGTGCGGAGTATGGGAGTGGAAGTTCTCGTGATTGGGCTGCAAAGGGACCAATGCTACTGGTACATCACAAATACCATTCTGCTCTGACCAATTTATTTGTGTGTATTCTGTTGGTTTATGTAAATGCTTTATTCATTCAATATTGTTTATAGGGCGTGAAAGCTGTAATAGCAAAAAGTTTTGAAAGGATTCACCGAAGTAATTTAGTGGGAATGGGTATCATTCCTCTGTGTTTTAAGCCTGGGGAGGATGCTGACACTCTTGGATTGACTGGCCATGAACGTTACACCATTGATCTTCCAAGCAGTGTGAATGAAATACGACCTGGTCAAGATGTTACAGTGGTGACAGATAATGGGAAGAAGTTTGTATGTACCCTGAGATTTGATACAGAGGTAATATTAGAGTCTTTCATCTTTTGTTGATGGTAGTGCTCTTTGTGTTGTGCTTTTCTCATTACTTGACTTTCTCCTTTTTCGTGCTGATGTTTTGGTTAATTCATTGCAGGTTGAACTTGCTTACTTCAATCATGGAGGCATCTTACAATATGTCATCAGAAACTTGATCAATGCTAAACATTGAATCGGATATTAAACCAAGTCTGCAGGTTGAGCTGCTAGCACCCACTGGCACTGATTTTTAACGTTGTCTAAATAAATCTAGTATGGGTCAGCAAAGGTCCTTTCAATGTGGGATAAAATCCATGCTATTCAGATGTTGTATTAATAAACCAAGGAACTCACTCGATGACAACAATGAAGGGTTGACTCTGTCGTTTGCTAAAGAAATGGAATTCATTATTTTCATTTCTCTTTTATTTGTATACGAGGATAAAACAAGTACTTGTTCCTGTGTTTTACACATTTAACTGCTAGTGTTGCCACTTTACTCTAAGAATTGAGAATATCAGGATTTTTTATTGAAATTACAAGCATTGTGACGTGAAACTCAAAGGGTATAAGGAATGCTACAAGTTTTGGACCACCAAGCATGAAACATTACGTTTCCACAATTGTGCTAAAAATATTATGACCTTACAAGATTTTTAAATTTTTTTTTTTACAAATCTGCAAAAGGAATTTAAGACCCTGTTAACCAATATTTTAATCTATGTTCCCCACTTTATGTTATTAAAAAAAAAAAGGCTTCCCGCTTAATAATATGTTGGGCCAATATTTTCTTGATCCAAATTCGCCACCAAAAAAATAAAATCAATTTCAATATTAGGGATGAAAGCGTGGCTATCAAAGCCTATGACCTAACTTATTTTCAACCGATTTCGGGTTTGCAAATAAGACAGGCTTAAGTTTTTAATAAACTTATTTAACAAAATAGATTAAGGCATAGCTTATTTATTTTATATTATTTAAAATAGAGAAAAGATATAATTACAACTTTTTTTCGTTTACAATCTTTTTCAATCGTATCTTAATCGTTGATTTTCGTCAATCTAACGATTATAATTTATTTAGAATTAATATTTAATTAATAAATATGACCCAATAAATTATAACCGTTAGATTGACAGAAATCAATAGTTAAGATGTGGTTGTAAATAAAAATAGATTGTAAGTATAACTTTTCTCTTAAATATATAATTAAGAATTTATGATACTTTTGTAATTTAATTATAAATTAATACAACATTAATTTACAACATAATATAATGAATTTTATTAAGTTATATATATTTAGAAATAATAACACTTAAGATTCTTAGCTTAATTGAAGGCTACGAAGCCTAAATTTTTTTGCTCTCTTATTCTCAAATGCATCTCACATACTTTTATATATAGAAAATATTTTATCTCTTATAACATAAGAAACTCTGAACCCTTGTTTAATATAAGCTTTTAAATCAATGTTATTAAAACTGGCCCGGTCAATGATTCGGTCGAGGTACCGGGTCACTGCCACTGGGTCACTGGTTCAACCGCATGACCCGGTGATTATATATAAATCTATTATTTATATTAAAAAATTATCAATATACTCAACTAGCAGAAAAAATAATATAAATTATAAATATTTTAATATAAAAAATAATAAATTATACATTATTGTCCAATAAAGGATCAAACAAACACATAAGCTTGTTATATTAGTGTTTCAGGTTCAGTAAACGACATCTCTAACTATCAAATCAAAATTTCCTCCATAGTGCATAACTGAGATAATATTAGTATTATAGGTACATAACTTATGTAAGTCAATAAGTAACAGATCACTCAAATATGTCAATTATGATTATTTTTTTGGAAAACTTTTTTTTTTTTGAAAATAATTTTTTTTAAAACCCAGGCCGGATCACTGGTTAACCGGCTGGGTCACCGATTTTTCACCAAAATCGGCCGGATCGCACCGAATCGTACCGGATCTGATACTTGACCAATCCAATGTGATAACCGGACCGGTTCACTGGATTCCAGTCAACCCTGCCAGTCCAGTCCGATTTTTACAACATTGTTTTAAATAGACTTTTGAATTAAATAAAACTTTCATATTTTGTATAAAGTAAATCAAGTTAAACCTAAAAAATAACTTAAACTGCCGATTTGAATAATTTGCATAAGCCTATAGGATCAAATCTTATTGTATAAAAAAAACAAAAAACAAAAAACAAAAGAAACCTAAATAAATACCAGATCAACGTCACGACAACTCAGTAAAATGAGTTAATCAATTTATTAACCAAGTGTCATCAAAACCGTAAAGAATTTATGAAGTTTCATTAAAAAAAACTTCCATTCAGGCACCAGCACCACGATGATGCCGCAGCCCGCCAAACAAGATTCACGTTCTTCAATGCATTCAGTGACAGCTTCCTTTATTTTTCTTGCACTTCTAGCCAAACTATCTCCCATTAATATCAAGAGAGGTATAGGAGCACTATTTATTTATTATGGCTTTTGGAAACTCATTTTCAGCCTTACTCAAACCAAGGGGAAAAATTATCAATATCACAGCAAAGGAATTTTCAAACAGTTTGATCATGGTAAGAGAACTATGGCACTGCTCTATAGATTAAAACGTGCAAAAATGTAGAGAGGGCCCCTCATAAATAGGCAACAACACAAGCAGACATAACAGAAATTACTAGACAAGGGTAACCGAGTTCTGAGGACAAAGCTGGTATACTTGATCAATCTATTGGATTTCATACATTTTCTTGAACCTCCCTAATGTAAATTCACAGGAACATAAATATTTTTATATTTGCTACTAATATGAAAGAAAAGGGTAGGGAAAAAATGAGTTAGGAGGTACAGCAGAACATCCACAATTACAGAATGCCGTATCATGCAGTAAAAATTTCCTTCCAACACGAGGCATTATCTTGAAAAGTTTTTAGCTGAGACTTTAAAATTGTACATCACTGGCGTGATGAACTCAGACAAGCCTGAAAAATAAGTCAATCGACGTGAGAAAGGTGATCAGCAACAACTAGCATATTAAATTTTGTTAAACTAAACGCAACAGTTGAGAATCATGCTGAGCAAGACAAACTAGTAAGCTGTAAATACAAGTCTGCAAACAATGTAGAATATGAAGTACACAGATATCAGTTTTCCAGTTTTAGCAAACTCGATGCAAAGAAGAATTGAACAGGTTGCAGATGATTCTAAGCTACCTCCAAACAAGCTTATATTTTGGGACTAAATCTATGATCTTAAGGTCAACTGAACCCAAGAACTCTGGAACTTGATGAACATGATAGTGTAACACAAATCAACATTCATGATTACATTTTATATAAAACAGCATGCAATGCAAGTAATCTATAGGAGATAAGTACCTATAGGAATGTACATTCAAGCTTTGTATTCATTGACACGTATCCATTTGGTACTTGACCACTTGTTACCCTTAATCACTGGACAACCACCTGAAAATTATCAAGAAAACAGTTTTGTTAATTGATCTCTAAATGTGAAAGCTCGCAGACACATCTAGCAGCACTATTATAAAATAATAATAAGAAGAAGAAAAAATAACCATGCAAGCTTGATGGATCTAAAGTTGCATCTGGCTTCATGCTCCAGAAAAGTAAAGCGTCACCCCTCTTTGGCTTAATCGAAAGTCCCTTTTTTCCGCAATCAGAAAGCTCATTCCACCATGGCACAGAACTAATATTCCCTTTGGCAGCTGGGAACACTGTCTCACCCCCATCTTCAACATCTGTACTGTTATCATTAAAATAAAAAAGAACCACAGCATGAAACACCTGTCTTCATATCCAAGACAAAGTTAACAACCAAGAGAGCACATGATGTCGCTTACAGGTACATCAGTACTGTTGCCATACGCTGACCCCCATTCTTTGTGTTAAATTCATCAAGAAAGTAGTCATAGTGAGGCTCATACTTTTGTCCAACTTCATAGTGTAGAACTTGAAGTCCTTCACCGTGATCTGTATATTGTGAGACATAGCTTATGTATTAATTTGGGAAGCATAAGAAAAAATAACCAACTTATAGATTGATAGAACCTACTTTTATAAAACTGAAAATGATGAAAACAGACATGGACCCAAGCTCCTTACAAAGATAAAATGCACAAAATAAACCTAGAAAGCCTCAACTCCCCCTCAAACCAAATACCTAGGCTCAAGAGTTTCCTAGAGGTCTTCCAATTTTCCCACTAAACCAGTATTGAATACATGCATACCTCACTACACACATTCACTCACCTTTTATCCCACTCATTGAATATTCTAGAAGCAATTCCTTAACTAACTAACTAATTATTTCAGGCCCATCATAGATCATAAACCAGAAAGCCAGATGACAAAGGCAACTGAAAATATCCATCATAGATCATAGTCCATTTCCCCTATATTTCCCTTCATATCTTTCTTTCTTTATTTAATTATTTGCCTCTCAAATTTATTTTTCCCTTTTTTTTATCTTTTTTTATTTTTACCATTTTTTTCCTCTTATTTATTTTTCTCTCTTATCTATCATTTTCTTTTTTACTTTTATTTATTTATATATACATATATTGTTATTTTATTTTATCTTATTTTATATTTTTATTTTATTTGTTTATTTTTATTTATTTTTTTTTTGGCTTTTTTTTTTTTATAACTTTTTTTCAACCGTTTTGTATCTTTTATGTGGGTTCATCTACCACCGACCCCAATTAATTTGGGATAAAGGTGTTGTTGATGTTGATGTTGATCTATCATTATTTTAACTTTATTTTATTTTCCTTTAATTTTTATTTATTTTTCTTCCCTTCTTTTCCCTCAATCTTTTCTTGCTTTTTATTTGGGTTTATTCCCCAATTAGTTTGGGATAAATGTGTTGATGATGATGTTTATTTGCTTGGCGGAAAATCAGTTTCCAAATATCCAATGAAATTTTTTATATAAAGACTTGAACTAGACTAGACTAACTCCTCAACATTGAGTTGAGGCAAAACATGTTAGAATGGCACAATCTAAAGTGGATAGCTGGAATTAAAGCATGTATTATTGAAATTAGAAGCAGATCCTAGCCTTGGATGTATTTCAAGAACTATTATTGTAATTTCATTTTAAAGAAATTAATTGCTAAAAATAATGTGGACATAGTCACCAATATCCCAAAAGAATTCTTTAGCACTACATGATTTATTTTTTCCTTTCACAAACAAGAAAAGCCCAAAATTGCACAAGACTTAGCAAGCAGAATTAGAGAGCGTATACACAACTTAAATTTCACAGAACAACAGTCTGCAATCACCTAAGTCAGTCTCATCTGGAGTTCTTGTTGCTATGTCCATTCAAGACACATCACACATGTATAACATTTCCAACAACTCAAAAGTTCTCAATCACAGACAAATAGTTCACTAGAGATAGTATGGTAAACAAAACATATAACAATTAGATTCTACTGTTGACTTAACACACAGGTGAACCAGGAAAAACAGCACCAGCAACAAATCCTTAATTTTATTAATAAAAGTCAATGTTCATAAAAGAGATAAGAGCGCAAAGTACTTACCTGCTGGAATAAAAGTAAAGTCAGCAATTCTTTTCTCAATGTTCCTCACAATCTTATCACGTCCTCTGGCCAGAAAAGTTCCAGAGCTTGTACGTACTCTAAATATAAAAGGAATATGCAAAGATAAGGTTTTCCATCAAGGAAGACAGAAGCCGCGGAGTGTAACTAATGCAAAATAAATTATTTTCAATATCAAAGGACACTTAGTAGAGAAAGATAGGAAATAGTCCAACCTGCTGTCTGTACTCTTTCCAGTTTCACTATCGACAACTGTTGACTTATGCATACTTGGTTTCGCTATATCGATTAGATATTCGCATTCCTCCTTGGTCTGCTCAGATTAATCAGCTGAACTTCAGTTTTTGGAAAGTGGAGACAATATAATGCATCATACTAAATTAATAATGCTCCAGATGAACAAGAAGCTTAACCAAGCACAACGTCATCCCATCATGCTAAAGTCACATTCAAACTGTTAAATACACCATTTGAACGTTCTGTCAAGCATCATTTAGCCAAAGAAAACACAACAGTTTTGCTAATATCCTACCTTTCAAATTAAGAAATCAGTAAAAGAAAGATGAACTCACCACACCAACAAGAACTACAAGGAATTAGAAGACTCTTAACTGTTATATATCAAGATAAAATCATGGTACTAAACCCCAACTTTATTCCTCTGCACGCACAACCTTGTTACCCTAGTTTTACTTAATCATTAACATACAATCCAGTCAAATTACCAAATAAAACCAACTTTCCGAAATTTGATGCAAGTAACGACAAAAGCAGTATTCTATATTAGGATGTGTACAATCAAAAAATTGAAAATAGAAAGAAATTATTATAATGGGAAAGAAAAAAAGGGGAAACTGACCAGAAAATTATGATAAACAAAAGCTCTAGGCTCCCACGATATTAATTCAACCCACTGCTCTCCCCTCTCATCTTCATCGTCGGTTCTGGTTAGAAGAAGAAGAAACAAGGAAACTCGAAACATAATATAAACCAATCGAAATGAATAATGATATCAATAAAAAAATAGAATAGGAGCAAGGTAGCTACCGATGGATAGTGTTCCGAGCAATGGAGGTAAGATCGTTAGGTTTGGGAAAATTGTCACGCGAGTTGTTAGGAAAGGAGAGGAAGCCGAGAGCGAGGAGAATGAGAACGAGGAAGGTGAAGACGAGGAACAAGGTAAGGATCAACGTAGAAGATGATGATGATTTCCGAGACGGAAGCCGAGAGTACCTGGCTTTCGCCATTGTTGACTTCAGCTCAGCTCAGATCAGATCCACAAGATCTCAAATTCAATAAATCCAAGTATCCAACTATAGCACAGCACAATGTTGTCTATCCTATACAATTTCGTTGCAGCTACAGGGTGGATGGAGGAAGGGATTGTTTCTTTCTGCGCTTCACACTGTTCCAACTTTAAAAGTTTAAACTAATTAATAGAAAATAATTAATTAATTAATTAGTATTGATAAACAACTTTTCCATTTTCGTTATAAATGCGTTCGTCTCGCAAAATGTATTGATTTATATGTTCCGTGACCATGCATTGTCGGTAGCTGGTGCTATTAGATTTTATCCTTCAAATTATTTTTGAGTTTTGGTATTATTATAAAAAAAACTTACTACCAACTCACTCCTATCTAATCATCATTTTCTCTTTATTCATAAATATTTTAATATTCTTTCTCTTTGATCTAACGGTATTTAAGTTGATTGTAGTGTTTTAGTAGTGAATTTTTTTAGTAATAAAAATATCTCCTCTCTAGGTTTTATTGTCTCTCCAGTAATAGAGATAAAGTTATTTCTACAATTCTAAAATTACGTCACTTTAAGAATTGAAAAAAAATTAAAGAAGGATATTTTGATAATTTTATTTATTTGTTTATTATATAAATTTTACCAAAACACTCTTTATTAACTCACTCAACCCTCAAAATAACATAATTTTAGGATAGCAAAAAATAATTTTATTTCTTATGACATGAGAAACGTTTTTACCTTTGATATATATATATGAAAAAAATGTTTATCTTTCTAAAGAGTATAACTTTGTGATATTTTAGATTCTAACCATTGATTTTTCTCAATCAATGGTTATAATTTATTGTGAATTATTAATTAATTAATAAGTTTCACCTAATAAATTATAACCGTTGATTGACAAAAATCAATGGTTAAGTGCTAAAATGACACAAAATTATATCATTTAAAAGGACAAATATTTTTCATATATATATATATATATTTGTGTATTTCTAATTTTTTTTGTATTATAATTATGAGTTTGATGTTTCTTATATTATAAAAAATAAAATTATTTCTTATAAATATGTAAAAGTGTGTGAGATTCATATGAGATATTAAATCCTATAGTTATTTGATTGGTTTATTTTATTTTTTAAGAAAAAACCTTTTTCTCATGTCCTTGAACAAACATAAAAAATACGGTAATTAATTTCTCCTAATATCAAAGAAAAATGTGTCTTCTACTGACACAAAACAAGGTATGGGTCCATTTTGATTTTTTTTTTTTTTCTTTTCTCTTTCGAATGGACCCCGCCTTCTAATGTGACAACCGGACAAATCAATTACCCAAATATATATATTTTTCATAATTTATACTTTGTTAATAATCGTTGTGTGGCCCCAACAACAAATCATCGAAACGTTCCATGACATCCTTCTTGTATTTATGGGTCATGTATGTGACATAACACCTTAGCCGCCTTGCCTCCTATTTTCATTGGATGCCTCGCATGCATCAAATCGATTATTTATCTTTAATCTTTTCATGTAATATGAATCATATGTAAGGATTTTAGTTATTGAGATGTATATTAAGAGTGATTATTTTTTTGTTATTATAATATATTTTTCCATTACCCTTAGTATCTCAATGAGACTCAATGAGAAATAACCTCTCACATTATACGATTCATTTCCATTTATCCAATTAAAAGGGATAATCTTTAAGTATGTAGTTCTTTTGATGACTCTCCAATTCATTCACTGATTAACTTAAGTAAATCTCGTGCATCACCGCTCGCTCCGATCACCTGAATTCACAATCACCGTTATCTACAGCCAGATGAGACTTAGAAACAGTGGCAGAGCCAGCAAGACATTTAAGCTTGTGCCAAAATATTCAGCTGGTGCCACAGTTATATAGTTACGACCAAACGTGGCTAATTTTCAAAAAACTTGAAATATGATTTGCTACATTTCAAGCATAGCTAAATAACCGTGACTAAATTAGTCAGTGCCAGAGTACCTGCTGACACCACCGTGGCTCCACCACTGCTTAGAAATAGTACCTCTTCTGGTGCATGCATCTCATATCTCGAAATCAAAACTTCCTCATTCACATGAAAAATAATCTGATTGGAATCAATTGATATAACACGTATCACCAAAATGGAATTGTAATATTTGTAATTGTAATAGTTATTTTACACTTTAAATTTCAAACAGTGAAGTTCAGTTTAACGAAGTTCAGTTTAATGAAGTTCAGTTTAATTTTATAAATTATACACATTCTTCATTACATTAAGAAACTTTGATGAAAAACATGAAATTGAATTGAATAAGAATCTTAGTTCCGGATAGAACGATTTAGACAGAGTTCATACATAAGAGAAGCATAATTTACGTCCCTGACGCGGCTCAAATTATAATGATTAAAAGATTTACATTTTATATAAATATGTGTCTCAATATCCTAATCTAAATTTAAATTTAATATGTAAATAACAATGGCAATTTTACGACATGCTCGGTTGTACAGGCGTGGAGTTCTTTAAAATCATATTCATTTTAATTAAATAAGTTTTAGGTTGACGATGCCGAGTGTGCAACCATAGTTTTGTGGAATTCAGCATAAAATTAGCTGGCAGAGGATGATAAAGTAGACTGGAAGAGACAACTCCTCCGATACATTTATTATGCTGCTAATAATTAAGGGATAGGATTGGTTTACAAAATTTTTTTTTGCAAATTACACTAAGTGCGACCGGTCGTACACTGCATGATTAAAGTATGACCGGTCGTACTTAGTGTAGTTTGTAAACAAAAAAATTTGTAAATATAACATACCTCAATAATTAAATACTAATAAGTATGTAACAAGAACATCAATGTTCAGTAATCTTATCCCTGATAAATAACAAGGAAACAGAACAATAAGACTGACACACAGAAAGTACTTGCATATTTTTTAGACTTGACCAAGGAATGACTTTTTATTGTGTATTCAATAGACCAAAGGGGCAAAGGGTATTTCAAACCATACAAAATACGAAGGTCCGACAATACTCATAAAAGAGCACACATTTGAATGACAAATAAAACATGCACATTAGGAACACTACCAAGAGTTCCATACTTAATTAACAAGCAATATTGGAAGGCCTCCCATGGCTTAAAAAACACCAATAGCGGTAGGATACAAAGCCTTGGGCTTGTAAGAAAGATAATTGGGAACATAAGTAGAAGTTCGTTTCTTAGGAGGATCCATGGAATCTACGGCTGGTTGGTTCAAATATGCATACTTGCTTTTTGTCCACCTGCACATGTCAAAACAAATGGTATTACTATTTCTCCCAATATATAATTTTGAAGAAAAAAAAAATTAAAATGAAATTGTCTATAAAATAACTAAATACAGATGTATTTATTCTATTCACCAAAAAAAAGTATTTATTCTCAAAATTTTAACAATTATTTAAATCTCTTTTCTTACTCAATTTATAACAGTTTTTTGGAAAATGCTATTAATATTTTGGGATTAATATTTCTCATGTTGTAAGAGATAATTTTATTTTCCGCATATACATCAAAGTGTGTGAGACCCATGTGAGACAATGTGAAGAGAAGAAAGATAAAAAACTGAGTCTTACATACTTTTATGTGTGTATAAGAGATATTTTATCTCCATGAGAAAAACTAAACCCTAATAGTTTACCTCAAAACGCTGTTAGAATTTTCTCTGAACATAAAATGGTATTAATTGTCCCAGTATTGGGGTTGCCCTGATGCGTGTGGAATTGGAAGGATTGAAGCATTTTGTCTAGATTCATTTTATTTTTTTTGTATCTAATCTAGAGTTATTCTTACTTAATCTTCTCCGATCATTTTGCTTTCAGAGTACGGTCTTAAGACTAATTACTTATTGAAATAGATGATGCATTAGATCACTGTCACGTAAAAAAGGTAAAACTAATTCCTCTTCCAAAAGGAGACAATTTCCATCTTACCTAAAGAATTTCAAGTAATTGCTTTGGCCATTGGTCAACACAAATGACTTTACCAGTTTGGAGTATGGAGCCATCTATTTCTGACTTTTTGTATTTTCTTTCCTATCAGTCATATCTTTGATCACCAAGTAGTTAATAATCAAAACGCTCAACTATGACTTTCTGGTTTCATTTTTCGTGGCCTCATACTCCTACATGAACCATTGATAAAAAGCAGCAACTTGATGCATCTATCAAGAATTACAAGGCAAATGACCACCTAGAATTCAGCATGTTACTCTTTCTATTTTGTTCCCCACTTAGAGGAATAGAGCACGTGACTAAACAATTTAAGAATTTCATGTAATGATTTTCATGAACGAAGAGAGATAAATTGAGTAATGAGCGATAATTTGTGGGGTTTTGTGAGGCTGTGAAGGAAAATTAATTTTGTGTAAATATCAACGCGACAACAATCAAGAGTTCAATAAAAGAGAGAATTTACTAACCAATCCTTTATTCCCACACGCACTTCCTTGTCCTTCGTGTCTTTTTTGCAGCAATCATTTGTCCCCACAACCCTTTTGACCCTCTCTTCCTTTGGGTCATCTTCATCAGTGTCATGAGTCCTCAAGGAAAATTCGAAGCTCCGGTACTCTTGCTCCTGTAAACCAATAGGCTTAAGTTAATAATGACACAAAGAAAAAAGGATGGTGGAGGAAGAATTATAATATGGCTAACATAACCATTTAGAATCCATATTTCTGTTATATACATAGGAAAAGTTCACCAATGCCACTGTGATTTACTTCAGAATCACTTATGTCCATGTAGTTTTTTTCTTATCACATATGCTCCTGTGGTTTGTAAAAGGGTATGTTTTTTATCACATATACCCCTGTGGTTTCTTATTTTTTACAAAGCACAGGGGCATATGTGATAGAAAAAAAACCACAGGAGCATAAATGATTCTGAAGCAAACCACAGGGGCATCAGTGAACTTTTCCCATATATATATAACAAATTAACTACACATCATGAAGAATATATATTAATTATGTGACAGAGTTCACAGATCAAATAAACAATTTTCATTCGATGGAGCAATAAAGCTAACCCAGACTCCTTCAAAGCTAGCTATATGCCTATTATCCCTTAAGCTCAAAAACAAAAAAAGAGGCCATTTTGTTTTAGAGTACATATTGTTGTGTGTGTGTGTGTAATTCACATAATGGATTTATCATTTATGGACCTTACCGTGAGATTGCGTGCACGGAGTCTTGCTGCTGACTTGATAGCAGCAAGGAGGTGATCCTCCTCCTCAATCTGCTTTTGCCTCCAAAACTTGGCAATTTCTCTCTTTGTCACACTCTCTTCTTCTCTTGGTCTTGAGAAGACTCTGAATTTTGGAAGTGGAGGTGGTGTTGGTGGTGATGACCTTGGAACCATCTCTCTCATTGATTCAAAAACATCACCTTCTTCCTTTCTTTCCTTCATTATAATAAACCTTGGTGCTTTATTCACTTTGTCACTAGCCTCCTCTGTTTGTTTGTATTATATCAAAAAAATATGGGACATCGTACAAGCACTCATTAATTGCATCAATTTTTTTTTTCTTCCAATTTAAACCCAAGTACCACCAGCTAACTATCCAACCTACCTTTCTCACTATACCGATAGATACACTTAAATGCACATGGAATTTCTGAGTCAATCAGAATATGCAATATGCACAACCCCCCCGTATTGTTGCGTGTGGAGAACAAAAAAACAATAAAAGCAATTATTTTAAATTAAATTAGTATAGATCCATTATTACTTCCACATTTTGGGACAAATTCACTTTAAAAAAATTTATGGTGCATACGTAGGCTTTGTTGTGTGGAGGTTTCCCATCCTTATCAATAATATTCAATAGATGGTTGTGTTCCTCAGATAAACTTAAACAACTAGTAGTATAAAACATACTTCACGATATAGTGAGGCATAATATATGTAATTTTATTCGTCCATCATGGTCCAACCTTTAATTCTTTTAATCAGTGGATAAGACTATGCTAACAAAGCACTAAAGTCTCGGATTATACCAACCACTAATCAGCCTCCTACCAGCCCTTCTCCACTGCAAAAAGCCAAAAACAGTGATGCCAATTATACAGGATTAATGTTTCTTACGTTATAAAAGATAGAAACACACATATAAAAATATGTGGAGTCTATAGAAAAAAAAAGAGAAAAAAATATAAACTCTACACACTTTTATATATATGTACGATATAAAATTATCTTATATAATATGAAAAATATTAATCCCATATTTTAAACACAAAATAATTATACTTCAGTTATGGTTTATTGAAGATTAGGTAGATCTATCATATTCTTATATTAATGAATATGCATACAGCAGCCTATAAGAAATATCAACTAGTCTAATTGGGATTTAGTCAGCATACTAAAGATCATTAAATCCTACCTTTCATTATTTAAATCTCCAACATAAGAGTGGCGTCATGGATAAAGCTTCATGTCGGTTGACAGGACTAAAATCGCTAGAACTTTACTCTTCGATATAAAGAATGACATTTTCTATTAAGTGATAGTAGTTCAGTTGGCGCTAAAGAATTGAGTAGGTGAAGGTAAAAAAATATGTATTCGATCTTTTCTAATATTATTTTTAAGAAAAATTTAAAGTCTTAATCTCAGAACTCATTTCAAATCGAACTAATGATAAAGTGACGAACCGATTAGAATATTTTAAAAAAAAAATAGCATTCCCAATAGGAGAATAAAGAGAAAGGCCGGCAACACTTTTTTTTAAAATATTTTTTATTATAAGGTGAAATCTCACATAAACCACACTAATAAAAAGTGGGCTCAAATTATTTAGTAAAACACACATGAAATTTCACTAAACAATAAAAAAGTATTAAAAAATTTATCCTTAGCAGTCCGCTACCCATAAATATGATAACCAAGAATGTTATTTCTTGTTAAATTCATAAACATGTTTGATTCACAATTAATATTTTGGGAATCTTATTTAAATTTTAAATGGTGGCAGAGAAAGAATACGGTAGAACGAAGTGGGAGTAGAAATTAATGGCTGGATTAAAGATAACTTTCATTCTCATACCATAAGAAATAATATATTCATCTCTCATCATGCAAACAAAATTCAAACAAAACATGGGAATGTCACTTCTCTTGCAACTAACAATGCCCAAAAATATTTTCTTAAAGCTTATACTAAACATAGAAATATTATATTTCCAAATTTACTTGTCCTGAAATAAGGTAAGGGGACGTTTGGTATAAGAGATATTTTTTTCACCAAAAAAAAAATATTTTCAAGAATATAGTGAGAAACATTTTTCCCCGGGTAAGTTACGAAAAAGTTTGGTAGGCCAAAATTTTATTGGAAAAGTTGAGTTAATTTTACTAACGTTATGTTTGGCTGATGATAAAATATTGATAGAAATCTGAACTAAAATAACCAAAATACCCATCATTTTGAATATTGTTAAGGGCATTTTAGTCTAATAAGTGTTAAAATGCTTTTGTCTCTTACTAAGAAAAAAAGAATACCATATGTGAGAGAGGAAAGTATTTTAGCAATGTATAGTAAAAAAAGGGATTCATGGGGAAAAAATATCCCTATATTATTTTTACTTTTTCTTATACCAAACATGTTAATTTTATTTCCCTCGTCCCACTTCCCCATCATTTCATTCAAAAATCCCATACCAAACAGCCCCTAACAATCTTTGAAATAAATGCACTTTCAGAATTTGTATCTTTGAAATAAAGCTCACAAGGTCCTATTGTTGAACGCCGAAACTTCTAATGAAGTGGCCAAGCCTTCATAAATCACTTGCATCGGGAATTTGGTTGCTCGTGCACTACTAAACTTGGGTAGATCTACATCTTTACCACCTGATATTTGGAAAGGGGAACAGAATACAGGCTTCTTTATTATATCCCTGAGAGTGCATTACAATTAGATTTTTCTTTTTGTAAAACAAATAATTTTTTTTTGAAAAATTGCAATATATAAATGTTCAAAATAACCAAAAATTAGACCCTTCGGTGCTGAGACTGAGAGCAAGTTTTACTCTGCATATTCTGCCACCAAACTGTCAAGGTAATATTGTAAACTACGCCCCATTTGTCAGAGGAGCAGTCACTCGGATACACTACAACTTGGAAAATCAGAAAGCATACAATGAAGGAAACAATCAAAACACAAGCAAAGATGAAACATGTCTAAAGGAGAAGAAAAGAGATCAATGATTCAATTAATTCTCGTAGAATAAGTATTCTGATTCCAATGGAAAATACTATATAGCATGAGTTGGCTTTCAATTTGTAAATTCTAGACTAACATGATTTGAAACAGAAAACCGTTACTCAAGTTAGTCATCCCCACCATATTCATTCATGCAACAAGCAGCTTTGGATTTGGTATCTTACTCAAGTTGAGTACTCTGGTTTTATAACAGTAGTCAATTGCAATAGCTCAAAGTTTCTTAACCAATAATGGTGGTAAAGAATAACGTAGAAACAAGAAGGATTTTATTACTGTTTTAGTATGGCTTTTTAGCAAACTGAACCAAAACAAACTCCAATAAGACATCAAGATGGCTCAGTTTTCTGGAAAAATACTTAGGTAATCTTAGAGTAACCACTAAATTTTTTTCCAGTTTTATGCATATGGAATACTTTTAATCTGCCAAGTACTCCTACCAGAAAACAGGATCACGTAAAGCTCAACATCAAAGAGTACCGCACCTTCAGCCTGAAGCACCACAATAGCAGATAGTTCTAAAGACAAATATGGAATATAGATTCAATAGTCAATTTCATCTAAGTAAAAGAATTTAGTTGCCCATACAACCGATGTGGGACTATATTTCTCAACACGCCCCCTCACACGAGAATCCACTGGGCTTGAAGCTGATACCATGTTAAGAACCTTGGGATACACCACCCAAAAAGCTAGCTCAAAGGGTGAAAGTGCCCAAGGCCTTATTAGTTGCCCATACAACCGATGTGGGACTATATTTCTCAACACGCCCCCTCACACGAGAATCCACTGGGCTTGAAGCTGATACCATGTTAAGAACCTTGGGATACACCACCCCAAAAGCTAGCTCAAAGGGTGAAAGTGTCCAAGGCAACACGCCCCCTCACACGAGAGCCCTTTGGGCAGCCTACCTGTGCTAAGAAAGTCCACAAGAAAAAGTGGGGGCGGCGAGGCTCTGATACCATGTTAAGAACCTTGAGGTCACTACCCCAAAAGCTAGCTCAAAAGGTGGGAGTGCCCAAGGCCTTATAAACCTCACATTAGTTGCCCATACAACCAATGTGGGACTATATTTCTCAACAAAAGCCCTTCCCACCACACTTTCCCCAGATTCTCCATATTCACCCTTCCCTTCCCCGGGTGAATAATCACACAATGCGAAGTGGTCCAGGCACACAATTTTGAGAGTGCCATTAAACAAGAAGGGGCCTGACAGGAAATATCAAACAGGATGCTAGAAGAGAGGAGGGATCGGATCAGTTGGATTGTGGTTAATGCCCCATCGAACAAAACAAAACGAGAACTTTATAAAGATTAAGGAATCATTATGATTTTTCCTCCAGCCAAGAAAATTCTAAGTTGTGATTACAGATCCCCACTCCCCACCCCTCCATCTAGGAGAAGCAGAACTTGGTATCAGAAAGATTATCTTGGAATAACAAATGTTTGTGTATTTTCTGCTAATTACCAAACGGGACAATTCAACTTAGTAATATGCAACATTGACCTTATATTTATTCTTTCTAAAGACCGTATCCAGAATCAAATACCTACCTCGTCCAATTTGCCATTTGATCTGCAACCAAGCATAAACTGGTTCTCTATTTACCAAAAGCCAGTGACAATTACCAAAGTTCCAAATCCAATAGAATTATACTCAAAACAGAAATAATTAAATAAATGCCTTGAAGCCCACACTAGTCGACAAGCATGGCAGTTCTTACTTCTTTCTTCCAATCTACAGTCCAAATGAAAATAATCAAGGGAACAACAAATACTAAATTTGTTCCAATCAATTACCAGCTGATCTCAGATTGGAATAACACTTCTACTAATTTGCAAAGAGATATTCCAGACACAAATGAAACTCCTATTAAGAACGTGAAAGCCCAGATAATTCTATACCAGTAAGAAAAGGACAGTATAATTCCACATCAAGCGCAATCCCACGATATGCACAGCACGATTGTCACAGGTATAACTCATAATTCAAGATAAATGATGTATCACTTCAAAAGTAACAACTTTTTTTTCCTTTTTATTGGTACAAGAAAAGTAACAACTTTATTTCAAAGAAAAGTGTGAAATATTACACAAGCTACAATCTGTATGTCTATCAACATGCCAATGAAAGAAAAAGAAAAAATTAAAATTCGCACAAGGGGCATATGGAAAACACAGAGCAGGCAAAACCCAATTAAGGAGAGATGGAAAAGTGTTCAACTTGATGTGATTCGAAGGGTTTTGGTCTTGAACCTATATCTGGGTGCTCTGGGGATAACTTGGCTAGGTCCCATGTGAAATTGACCAGGACTATTGGTAAGAGGAGGACCATCATCATAGACATAACCAACGAGACGGCCACAGCTATTGCATATGATCTTAGTCCTCTTCCTCTGAATTCCCCAGTAGTTGAGGGTCTCAAAGAAAGGACGGATCTTGTCCTCTTTCTCGAACCTGAACTTGGTGGTGTCCACAGCAGAGAACGAAACTGTACCCTTGTTCCCGGCCTCGAAGTAGAAATCGGCTGGATATGCATACGCAGAGTTGAGATTCAGATTGGTGCCGCATTCCATACAGCAATAGATGGAAGCCATTGTTGTTGTGGAGCTTTCTGTGAGGAACTTGTTTTGTGCATGGAGGGGGCAGAGAGACTTGTCCAAAGTCCAAAACGCGTCGCTGTGGACTGGACGGCTTTTTTGCTTCTTCTGGATTGTGGTGTCTTTTTGTTTGCGCATGGTAAATGCGTAGGAAAATTCTCCTCTAAGATATGGGTATCATCATATTTTTCATTTTAAGTAACATAAATTATACCATTTCAAAAGAGAAATAAATATAAAAAATAGAAATTACGAAGGTGATAGTGAGTAGTTTTTTTTTAATTTAAATTTTAAATAAAAAAGTTTTATTTTATATCTATCTCTATTAAAATGACATAACTTTATGTCATTTTAAATCTCCTAAAATATATATACATTTACGGAGATGATTTTAGTTTTATTACTCTTATTATTTTGATTAATTATTATTGGATTAATTTAAAATTAATGGTTAAAAACTAAAAATAAAAATCAATTGCCGTTGATTTTCAATTGATCTACAAGTAATCTATCAAGTAATAAAAATAATAAAGCTAAAATAATAGTAAGTATAATATTTCTCCGTACTTATAACTTATTTTCCTTACTATCTTTTACAATTACTTTTTTATCATTTGATCAAAATTAAATTAACAGCTCTCACTTGATATTATTTAATAACTATTAATTTAATCTTGATCCGGCAATAAATAAAATAATTGTAAATGAAAATAAGTTATAAGTATAACCTCTTATATACAGAGCGAGAAAAATATTTTTCAAGCAGTTTGAGATATATTTATCTCCATTCACTAAAAAATTATGTTATTTTATTTATTTATTTTCTTATATTAATTGATTCACATTTGAATGATTATGATTCTATTTTTCTCTCGCTTCCTTTATAATCACAGGGCTTATGGTTTCTCAAATAATTCGTCACCTATATATATAATATGCAACAATATAAATTGCGAAAAAGTAAATTATTAAAATAAAAATTGCTGAAATATAGATCAATAAATATATATCTATATATGTAATTATAAAGTGCAAAAATATAATTTGCAAAAATGTAAATCAATGAAGTATATATTGCTAAAATGTAAATTGGTGTAATATAAATTACTAAAATAAAGAACACGTATTCCATTGAGATCGATTAGAGAAATAAAGAAAAATAATATAAGATAATACAATAACGCAGTCATGGATATACATTTAAAAAAAGATAAAGAAGTTATTATCACTTTATTATTCACTTTTATATTTCTTTGTAAACAAATTCCTCACTCTCAGTTTTTTTTCTTCCTCCCCTTCTCATCAAGTAGGGTTTTTTTTTTTTTTTTTTTTTTTCAGTATCTCTTTCTCTTCGAGTAGAGTTTCATCCCAAATTTACTTTCATTGTTTTTAAATAGAATTTACTCCAAAATCTATTTTTGCTATCCTCAAGTATAATTTGTCCTAATATTTTAACTCTTCACTTTTAATTTTCACTCAATTTTTGACGTAATGACTAAAGATAAAGACTATTTTAATCTCTATTTATAGAAAAAATATCATCATGTCAATGATGAATTTAATGTTATAATAATAGAATATTATTTACCTAATTATCATTAAAGAAAGCATTCACATGTATAATGTCTTATATTTTTTTGTTAATAACTTACATTTATATGATGTTTCTTCGGGTGTAGTTTGTCGTAATTTATAATTTCTTTTATGTTTACTGAATGTTATTTATAATATTTTACAATTATATTATGTTTCTTGTAGTGTAATTTGTAATAACTTATGTGTATTATATTTCTTTGAATATTATTTATAATAACTTATAATTCTATTATGTTTCTTGAAATGTTGTTTATAATAATTTATAAATATATTATGCTTTTTGGAGTGTAGTTTAGGGTTAATTTACAATTATATTATATTTTTGAAGTGTAGCTTGTAATAATTTAAAAGTGAATTATACATATTTTTATTTTTAAAACAAAAATAAAAATAAAAAATAAAATAAAAATAAATTATAAAAAATAATTAACTAATCATCACCTGACTCTAAATTATAATATATATATATATACATATATATATATATATATTAAAAAAACAAAATAAATAAATTATTCTAATAATTTAAAATATTTTTTAATGAAATTCAATCATTTTTTTTGCATTCTATTACTAAAAAAATAGAAAAAAGTAGGACTTAAGTATCATTAATCATAAAAAATGGGTGAAACAAATAAAATTAAGTGTTACTTTACTTTTATGTATTTATTTTTTTTGGTAATAACTTTTATGTATTTTAATTAAAATATTGACTTATCACTACGATTTTACGATTTTTTTTATCAAAACGATTTTAATAATATTTCAAATGCTTTTACATTTTTATGATTTTTTTACATTACGATTTTATGTTTTACTATTTTTTAATTCCCTTCCAATTTTACTTAAGATCTCGATTTTAACAACATTAATTTTAATAATGATATATTAAATTTTCGGTACTACCGAGTACTGAAATATTTTGTACTTTTTCTTACGTCGAGAAGCTAATAAGATTTGATTATATTTATTTTAGTTGTACATGTACATCTTACATTATAGATTTTTCTAATAACATTAAAGAAAGATTATAGTTATTACTTTTTTTCTTACTTCTTGTTACTACCAAATCTTAATCGTTGAACCTCTCCCATAACATTATATTCAACTCAAACACCTCAAAAAATTCAATTTAACATCTTACAAATGTTTATTATTATTATTATTATTTTAAAATAATTTGAGGGGTTATACATAACATAGTTTTCTCCAACATATATTGAATACGTTGTTTTGTGTTTGCTTCAATAGCTGTAAAATTCTAGCCTATGAGGTACTCTGGCTTTTGTTATTTGAATTCTTATTTAATCATTTTTATTGTAAGTGTAGGAAAGTGAAACGTGATATATATTTTAAATGGATTGTATTTTATGTATTTCTTTTGTAGCTTTAATGAAATTTTAAATATATGAACCATCACCTATAGACAAGCTAAATATTAAATGAAGTGTTTAAACAAAAATGTTGGGCTCATAAAATTCTCTTGGCATGCTGGTAAAGTTTTTCATTAATGCGTGTTCGCGGGCTACGAAGGGAGTTTTTATTTTATTTTTTCTTTTTGTGGATAACGAGTGTTAAGAAGTGTGTGAATGCACTAAAACTAATTTGGTTAATTAATGTATACAAGACTTACAAAAGTAATTTTTAACATTTATACAAATTCAATTAGAACAAATAAAAATGTTTTTGACGAAAATACTATCACTTTCTATTATGAACTTGTGAGAGAACCATATTCCAAAGGTTTAATAAGAATCAACACAAAAAGGAGGAGAATCATTCATTAATGATTATCATATCTAAACAGTTGGATGTGTGCCTCAAATAAATCACTAAGTGGGAGTTTGATACGAGAATTTTTTCAGGATTTCTGAAAAATTAATTTTTGTTAAATTTTAAATTTTTGGATATTATTGTAAATTTAATATAAAAATTATATTTTTGAAAATTGAGATTCCAGGACAAAAAAAAAAATTCTTCTCTACCAAACGTCCCCTAAAAATTTATAATTTTATGATTTATGAGTAAATTTTATAAATAAGAGAAAAAATTTACAAATATGAATATAATCTTTTTATTATTATGTTGTTGTTATTATGTATACATAATAACTCAGGTTATTTTATTTATATAAATCTTAGAGAGAATCTTAGAACCAAAATAAATCTACTAATCTTAAATTAGACATCTCAAAAGAAAAATGCTTATTACACGGGTGCAAAATTAAAAAAGAAAAAACACTTTAAATAGGAATTATGGTACGTGTCCTTCTTCAGAAAGCCTCGCACAAACGTGTATATCTTTTTTTTTGGGTGAAAAAACGTGTATTTCTTTTATGAGCGGCGTGTTTGATAAACTGCGCACGATAGCGTAACTGCGCACGATACCGTCTATAAATAGAGGCTTAGGGCTCGTTTTTCATTTCTTGCTGCGCGAGGAGAAATCCTCTAACCGAAGAGGAGGTTATTGTAGTTGTAGCCGATCTCTCCTAACACTCACACAAGACTGAAAGTAAAGCTCAAAATTCGAACTAGCAGCTCTACTATTACCCTGTGTTAAAGTTAATTAGAATTTTCCCTCCTAATTTCTCATTCCTTCTGAAACCCTAGAACCTCGCAACAACCATGGATATACGATTCCCTTTCTCTCCGGCGGAGGTCGCCAAAGTTCGCATGGTTCAGTTCGGAATACTGAGTCCCGACGAGATCGTAATTTTCCCTATGATATCTCATCCTTTTCGCTTTGTTTAGAAATACTGGAATCGAATTGATTGGATTGTTTATTTATACTTTTTTGTTTTTTTGGTTTTTTTTTTCTTCCAGAGGCAAATGTCTGTGGTGCAAATCGAGCATGGTGAGACGACGGAAAGGGGAAAGCCAAAGGTTGGAGGGTTGAGCGACCCTCGCTTGGGAACCATTGATAGAAAAATGAAGTGTGAGACTTGCACGGCAAGTATGGCTGAGTGCCCTGGCCACTTTGGTCACTTGGAGCTGGCGAAGCCTATGTTCCACATAGGGTTTTTGAAAACCGTGCTAACTATAATGCGTTGCGTGTGTTTTAATTGCTCTAAAATTCTTGCAGATGAGGTAGGTGCCTTGGCTTTATTATCTGCTTTCTTATTTGATTTTCTGTATTGTAAGTGTAGTAAAGTGAAATGTGATGTATAATTTTATATTGATTGTGTTTTATGCAGCAAGATCATAAGTTTAAGCAAGCTTTGAGGATCAGGAATCCCAAGAACAGGCTGAAAAAAATATTGGATGCTTGCAAAAACAAGACCAAGTGCGAAGGTGGTGATGATATTGACATTCCTGGTCAAGATGCTGAAGAGCCGGTAAAGAAGAGTCGTGGTGGCTGTGGTGCTCAGCAGCCAAAAATTACTATTGAGGGGATGAAAATGATTGCGGAGTATAAAGCTCAAAGGAAGAAAAGTGATGACCAAGAACAGCTTCCTGAACCTGTAGAAAGGAAACAGACTCTTTCTGCAGAGAGGGTGATTGATCTAAATTCTGAATTTATATTATG